GCAGGCGTTGTAGGACTGGGAACCATGGTGCGTTCACGTGCTCAGGGGCCACCAGGAGAGCTGTCAATCCCTCCTCCTGAACTCGGTTCAAGAACCGTAAAATCAGAGGGGGTGGGGGAAATGCGTAAAGAAGCATTTTGGGCCATGGGCTGTGAGCAAACGCGCCCACCCCCAGCGGTGGTTCGTCTCGTGGGCTCAGAGAAAACCATAGTTGACACTGAGCGTTTTCTCGTGTCGCAAACAGGTCCACAGCTGCTTTGCCAAATTTCTGCCACGTCTGAGCCATCAGATCTGGATGGAGAGTCCAGTCCCCATGACGTGGACCGCCCCTGGACATCACATCTGCCCCTTTGTTCAGAACACCGGGGATGTACACTGCTCTGATGGAGAGCAGATTTTGGTGTGCCCAACACAGTAGTTTTCGTGCAATTTGTAACATCTGGGCTGAGCACACACACCCCTGCCGGTTTATGTACGCAGTAGTCACCTTGTTGTCTGTGTGAATCAAAATATGTTGATTCTGTAGCACAGGAGCAAAGTGTTGAATCATGTTCAAAACCGTGCGACACTCCAAAACATTAATTTTTTTTCAATTAGCCTTTATTTATACAGGTTAGTCTCATTGAGCCACGAGAACTCATTTTCAAGAGAGACCTGTTTAGGGAGCACATGGTGGGGGTTAAGGGCCTTGCTCATGGGCCCAGAGTGGGGCGAATGAGGGTGGGGGCAAGTGTGGGTGTTTTCACCTACCGCACCCACAATTTTGATGTTGTCGGGGCCGGGGCGTGAACCGGCCATCTTCGGATCACAAGCCCACCTCTCTAACCTCTGCGCCACCACTCCCCATTTATGTGGGCTGATGTGTGATTGGGCCTCAATGCTCCTACAGCTTGAGATAGGCATGTCACCCCCAACCTGACAGCGACGCGTCTGTGAAGACTGACACGTGTGACGTGAGTCTGCTGACGGGGACTCCCTCCGACAGAGCCAGGGTGTTTCCCCATTGTTGGAGGTCTACTCTCACGGAGGGAGGAACAGTGATCATCCATCTCTTTTGTTTTACTGGATCCACACAGACGCGCAAACCACCTCTGGAGGCGTCTCATGTGTAATAAACCCAGCGGGACCACTGTGTGAGCTGATGACATCGTTCCTAACAGCTTCATGACGGAAACAGCTTTTGCCACTCTGCCAGGTCTTAAAAAGCTGGTCTCTTAGAGTGTCGATTCTCGTTTGTGATAAACGAGCCTGCATGGTGGTCGAGTTTAGCTCCACTTCCGATAAACAATCGTCTGGGCCGGGAGAATCGAGCTTTTCTTCCAATTTATGGCGAAGCCCAGATTTAACAGGTGTGATGTCAACACCTGAGCCTGCATCACTGCTTCCTGTCTGGAGTGTGACAGCAGCAGCAGGTTGTCTAGGTAAAACAAAACTCTCATCCCTGCTCTGTGTAATGGTTGCAGGGCAGTCTCCACACACTTTGAGAACGTACGAGGCACGAGGGAATACCCTAATGGCAGTCTGTTGTACTGATACTTCATCCCTTGAAAGGAGAAGCACAGAAATTTTCTGTAATTTGGGATGATCAGTATGTGAAAATAGGCGTCTTTCAGGTCGATAGAAACAAACCATTCATTTCTCTAGATGTTGTCCAACAGCTGTCTGGTTGTCAACATGTGAAATGGTCTGTCCATGATCACCTTGTTGAAAACTGACAGATCCAAAATGGGTCTCGTTTCTCTGGTCCGTTTGGGAACCAGAAAGTAACGTGAGTAAAACCCTGTGTTTTCCTCTCCATTGGGAACCCAGGAGATCACCTCTTTTACCAGAAGTTCTTGGACTTCTGCATTTAGGAATGAGATTTGGTCTGGTGATGACAGGACCGTTTCTAAAATTCCTCCGAACTGAGGGGGTCGGGTTGCAAATTGCAACGTGTAGCCCCTGCTTAACAACCTGGTCATCCATCTATCTGGCGAGCATGTTTTTAGCCACTCCGCGTAACGTTCGTGGAGTGGACGCGCGTTTAAGTGATGCATCATGTTTTGTACAGATGTCATCCAGTCCACCGCCTCGACCGCCGTTTAACGCCACTGCGGTGAAGCGCGTGTCGCTCCTGCTGTGCGTGGGGTCCTGCGCTGGGCTCGCTTTGCGATCTCGCATCTATGCTGACATGAACGGACGAACGCTGAGGAGCGGTGAGCGCGACTTCATCTACGCCGTGCCGTTTGGGTGAAGGCTGCGAGCCCCGCAGGAGTACGTGTTTTCTTTGGTGGAGCGCGCTGCTCTCACTGGGGGCGAGATTCATCACTGGGTTCACTCAGCTGTCTCACGCTTATGTTGACGTGAGCGGCCGATCGCTGAGGAATGGTGAGTGAAGGCTGCCCGCGCCGCGAAAGCACGCGTTTGCTTCGGTGCAGCACGTGTCGCTCTCGCTGAGAGCAAGGTCCTTCACCGGACCCGTCATGCAGTCTTACATTTATGCCGATGTGAGCCGGTGAACTCCAGGGAGCTGTGTGTGCACCATCATCAATGCAACACCGTTTGGGTGAAAGCTGTTCGCGTCGCGCGAGTGCGCGTTTGACACCGCTTGGGTGAGGATTGTGCAGGCTGGGCTGAAAACGAGTTATTTCACTTACCACTGTTGTCATGTGAGCGTCTCGTCTCGTTTTGGAGCAACGGTGAATTTGAAAAACCTTTTTTAAGGACACCGTTTCGTTTTGTGTGGAGGATGTGTGCGCAGCCAATGTGAGTTCAAACGAACTTACAGAGTGGCTAAAAACAGACACTTTAATCATTGAATGATGTTTTATTTCAACACTTGTGTCATTTTTACACGCACCCTCCGCAGACCGTCATTTCATATATGAGCTCTGCGAATTGTTGGCCCAGGGCGCCGCCTGCTGGCGATCTCTGGGAAAACGCTGAACTGCTGGTTGCCGGGATGAAGAGGGCTGGTCTCTGACGGGCGGGGCTGGTGGTGGCAGGATGAGCCGCGCAGCTTGATGAGGTGGCGCACGATCTCCGACACCTCCTCCGACTTTTTGGAGTTCTCCAACATGGCATTGAAACTGTTCCCGAACAGCGCATCCACCGTGATTGGGCCCTCCATCAGGTCTCTGTGTAGTTTTTCCGGCAGAGAGGGAGAATGATGGAGCCAGGTGGACCGCTGAATCATTGTCATCCATACTGCAATTCTGGATAGGCAAACCGCAGAAGAAACACACATGTTGAGAATGGCGTCAGATGCCTTGCAGAGGGAGCTCCTGGTCTCCTCAGGCAGATCTGCAGTCTCCAGCCTCTTGGACATGCTGTACGCTAACAACGCCACACTGTTGTTAGCTGTGGCTAACTGAAACGCACACTGGTGAGCTCGAATGGAGAGCGTGGTCACCGTCTGGTCGTGTTTCCCAGGAGGGAGGGGACGCTGCTCCAACCTGGACAGCTTCGCTCCGAAGGTTTCCACGAGGCCTTGGCTCAAGGGGGGGTACCAAGGGGAAGTTCCGCTCGGTGAACCCCTCCACTCTGGTGATGGGAGAGAAAGTGGAGACGGGCGCTCTCAGTTTACCAGGACAAGCCGCGGCCTCATTCCAATAAGACGTCACCGCTGGAAACCGAGGCCAGATGGGATCATGACGGCAAGCCGGAGTGGAGCCAAACCTTTCCGCTAGATCATCCGATCTGGGCGGGGGGAGGGAGGGAACGGAAAGTCCCTTCATGTCAGCAGCTTCCCGGATAATGTTGGGCAACTCTGAGAGGAGGGCGCCGAAGGCAGGGAGCGATGTGGCTGTTGAGGCGGGAAAGCCCGGAGGGGACGAGCATCCGCTCGTCCCCCCTCGTTCCAACACTACGCTCTCTGGGAGGGAGCGAGCATTGGGGCTGCTGCTGACGTCGCCTGTCCCAGTGGAACCATCTGATTTGCTCCGAGAGCTGGCGTCGAAAAAGTCGATCGCATCGTCCAGCGAACAGTCTCCCGCCACGGACAGCAGTCCTCGACGTTAGCCTTAAACAAGGCTGCTCTCCTCTGCCTTTCCTCCGGAGGAAGGTCGTCACAGAGGCGGCAGGAGGAAGTGCGGGCGACGTGGCGGGGACCCAGGCATCCTTCGCAGGTATCGTGCCGGTCAAAGCTGAGCAAGTAACTGGTCTTGCAGGACGGACACAAGCGGATGGTGTTGCAGCTGGACGTCTTGTAGAAGGTCAGTGCTATTATCTTGCTTAAGAAAATTGGGAGTCGATTACCCGCTCTTAACGTAACTTATACGGACCGGGTGGGGCCCACACAGCAGGTGGGCGTGGACTAAACGTTTCAGTGTAATGCTTCGCATAACGGGATAAAACCCATGAGCGACAGCCTTAAAGGGCGAAGCCTATATGAAATAGAACACACATTTGTTTTTAGAGAAGGTTGGTCAAATAAAGTTTTAAAATCAAGTCTGTCTTCTAAGATTGCTGGAGCTTGATACACACACACACACACACACACACACACACACAATAATAATAATAATAATAATAATAATAATAATAAATGGAAACAATTTCACAATAGAGTTATACAGAACTAACAAGATGTTTAGGTTGAAAAAAACTACCATGAAAATGGAGACTGTTGTTGCCACGGAGACAGAGACAGGTGGGATTCCATCATTTATTATGGAGAAAGAGACAAGCATGTTCATGGTGTCTTTCAGAAATGGGTGAATTTATACTCTCTGTTACCATGGAGACGAGTCAGGCAGGTAATAGTGCAGTAAAGTAAAAGTTTAGATTTAAATTAAATTCAGTTTATTTATATAGCACCAAATCACAACAAAGTATTATCAGGGCACTTTACAGGAACAGTCACATACATAAAAGCCAATTAGTAAAGTTCTCTATCTAAGGAAGCAGCAGACAAGTTGAATCTGATTTAAACCAGCAGATTCGTCACCGTCTTTTTTTTTTACTGTAAAAGTTTTTTTGTTTTTATTGATTGTTTTTTTGTTTAGATCACAGTGTTTAGGATGGGCTCAGAGGGGCAGCAAGACATTGAGATGTCCATCCTCACAGCTCTGCTGAAAGGTAGGAACACAACAACAACAACTAAAGTTCTGGGAGAAACTTTGACGAGGACTGCCACATGGCATTTTAAAATTTTGATTTGACAGTACTCTGTTTTGGGGTTTGCTCCCAGCTACTGTCACTCCAAATTGCAGCTCAATATCTCAAAGAATGACTGAGTTATAGTCTATTTTAAGTTTTATGAGGCAGCTGTGGCAGCCACATCACGGTGCTGAGCCGATCATTTTGATAAACATTTGTGAGGGGACACGTTGTGGTTCGGGCTGCATTAAACTTGATAGAAGAGCAAGACCCTTTATGTGGCATTCCCAGTTAATGTTGATGCTGTGGCGTTTTGTTGTCATGATTTCAGGTACCAATGCATCAGCATCTGATCAGCTGAGTTTGGCCCTGGCCTGGAACAGAGTGGACATCGCTCGTAGTCAGATCTTTGTGTACGGCCTCCACTGGCCTGTGAGTTCTCAGATCTGTCAGACATTTTTGTCAGTTTCCTTTTCAGCTTGATAAACTGATCTCAGTGGTTTTGTTGTTCAGCCTGCGAGTGCATTAGCTGTTGACCGGCCAAAAAGCCCATCATCTCAGCGACATGCAGCAGCAGGAGGTAAAGGGAAAGCCCGAGCAAAGAAGGGAAAAGGAGGCAAACCCAAGCCGGAGCCTCCTGAGGAGACTGATCCTCGCAAACTGGAGCTCCTCAACTGGGTGAGAAACTGTTACCAACCAGCAAAAACACATTGAAAAGGTCTTTAAAAGATAACTTGGTGACTGACTACCATAAGATCTATTTCCTTCACAGATTAGGACTATGGGAGAAAGGCTAAACAGAGTAGTGTTGGTGGGGCTAGACTGGATTATAATCTTTACTGAGACTGTGGTGATGATAAGGATAATGAGGAAAAAAGGATGATGGCAGTGTTGGTGTCTGACAGGTGAACTCCCTGGAGCAGGCTATGATGGACGCTCTGGTGTTGGACAGGGTGGACTTTGTGAAGCTGCTGATTGAGAACGGGGTCAACATTCACCACTTCCTCACCATCCCACGCTTGGAGGAGCTCTACAACACGGTGAGGCTCAAAGACGCTCAAGCTGGGTATGTCGTTTCTCACTCAGAGTTTAGAAAATGTGAGAAAGACTAAATTTAAAAAGGGTAAAGAAAATTGCAATGGAAGAAATAAAAGTAGTTTTTAAAGATGGTGTCTCCTTTTCAGCTCTGTGAAACAATTACCTGCTCAGGGTTTGTCTCCAGTCGGGCAAATACTTCTACTAATAGAAAAGCACAAACGAAGTGGCTCCTACCTGGAGGGGACAGTACAAGTGAATTTACTTCCCACAAATACTGGGAAAGTGTCTGATTCATGTAATTTTACAGTGCCTTGCAAGAATATTTGTTCCTCTTGGGATTCTTTCTGTTTTGTTCCCTTACAACAAGGAATTTCATTGGGATTTTTAATTTGAATAAAAGCAAACATTCAACTTCAGATGAATGAATGAAATTAAACAGGAAAATGCACGTGTTAAACAACTATAAATAGGTTCCAACTAAAAGTGGTGCATGCACATGTATTCAACCAACAAAACTTAATCCTTTGCCTCCCCACCTTCTACATCAAGTCTCTTCAGGTGTGTCTCAATAATCTTGGATCGTCTAACCTGGACGTTTTGTCCATTATTCAGGATCAAGCTGCTCTGGCTTCTTTAGATGAGCTCCTTAAGCCCCTTAAGGTGCTGCTTGTGTCCATTAATCAAACCAGAGTTTCTCAATTGGACTGAAGTCTGGACAAGCCCAGTTAGAGTTGGGTTATTAATGGTAAATGGACTGTACTTCTATAGCACCTTTCTATCTTACCAAGATACTTGAAGCTCGTGTTCAGTCTTCATGATGTTCCTTGCTTGGTGGTAGTCTTCACTAGTCTTTAACTAGAGGTGTAGGACTGGTGTTTATTCTGGGGGCCATCAGAAAATATGTGTGTATTGAGCTCGTCTGACACCTAACTTGCTCACGGGTAGAACTTACTATATTAATAATGATGAGTAGCCTCATGGGCGTCAGAAGCATCTGTAAAGTGGGGGTGATACTATTGTGTGTGTGTGTGTGTGTGCGCATGCGTGTGCACGCACGCCAGTGTACAAAAAAAGTAACATTTCATCTAGATTTCCTTACTTTAATTCCATTTAAAGCATGTTTCTCACCAAGTTTGTCTAAATTCAGCTGTGGGTTTTAAAGACATTTTAACTTTAATACACTTTAAACACACAGCATCAGGTCGGCACCATTTGTGTTTATAGAGAAATAAAAAACATCACCACTAGATTTTTTTTACTTGTGTTCAACACTACTCATCTTTTTTTTTCTTTTTTTTTTTGAGCTCAGTTTAAGTGTAGAAACATTGTGAAGTGTTTCAATGAACTTATCATCGCTCAATTTTTTTTTTTTTTAAAAAGAGAAGAAAGAAGAAAAAAAAAATAAATAAATAAATAAAAGAGAAATAGATAAAACGAGACACCACCACGACAAAACAACATGCACAGCACAATGCCACCCACAATATCACCATGAAACATTGGACATGGCACAAGGAATCATCTAGCTTCCACCACTACCCAACCTTGTGTGCATCTGTCAAAGCACCTGAATCCAAACACCCGCGCAAGCATGCCCTCCACCACCAGATTTCTCCAAAAGAATGCCCAATAGTGGATGCGGGGGCCCACAGACCCGCCCCTCAGGACACAATGGCAACACAGGGAGGACCGGAGCCACAGACACACAGCGGCCCCCAGGCCCGGAGCCCCAGGAGTCTCCCAACAGGGAGAACCGCACACCCCCAGACAGGAGCAGAGGAAAGAACCGGGTGACCCCAGCAACCACAATGCAGAGCCTCCAGGAAGCTGCAGCGACGAGCCCACAGGTCCGGCCGGCAACCCATGCCCCCCCCCCCCCCCAAGTAGATCCGGCCATGGACACCGAGCCCCAAGCCTCGAGGCCATACCACCCCCCAGCAAAGCCCCGACAGAGCCAGGGCACCCAGGCCCCACCAGGCAGCAACCAGGGCGGACCGACGTACACCCCACCACCCGAGAGCCACCAATGCACCGGCGGAAAGGAGGCCCCCTGCCAAAGGGGGGCACGACTGGGGGGAGTGGGCCCCACACCAAACGTGGGGCCCAAATTGATCCAAGAGAGGGGGGACCACCAAAAACCCAACCTGAGCAACAAACAGGCACACACAGATAGCCCGACAGAATCTCTGTCGGGCCGACCGCATGCACCATCTACCTGACAGCGACCACAGGCCAGCCCCAGCCCAAGGGGCAGAGCAGCAGGGAGCTGCAGCCGAGGAGGGCCGGCTTTCACATCAAGAGCTCCGCACCAGAGGCCCGGAGACGCCCCAGCACGCCACCTACGCACCCCCCCCCCCCCACACACACACACACAGCACCCCCACCGCAAATGCCACACAGGAAGACCAGCCAGTGCCCCGATGAGGCGAAGCCACACCCCCAACCGCCGCCCTACACCACCAATGACCACACGTACCCTACCATAGCCGACCCCCCGCCGAAAGCCGGCAGCCACCCTGGTCAAAGTGCCGGCCATCGCAACCAGGAACCTAGATTAAAAGAATCGGAACAGCCCAGGGGGAACCGAAGTACTGGCCCCATCACCAACCGCCCCCAAGGCCCAATGTCCACCCACAGCCCAGACCCCAACAATGCCCCTCCCCCCATCCCCGACCCCTAGTGTCAAATGGAGAAAGGAGGTGTTTGTGAGAGAAAAAATCTATATATGCATAAATAAATTATGAACAGACCCACTTCCTCCTCCTCCCACTCGAATATGGTGTTGATGCATGTTGTTATACAGTGCGTTTAAAATGGGGGGATGAGGTGGAGACCGGCACAGACCCACCTCTTGCCCAGAGAGCAGGCGGCGCCCATTCACCCCTCATCTCCGCCCAGAACCCTAAATGTCTACATGCTACATATGAGAGTGGGCACAGGTCCGGGAGGTGGAAATGATTGTACATCCCACCACCTAAGTGCGACCATGTGCCCACTCCAGATAAGTGAGTGTCTTGGTTGTATATTAAAATTAGGGCCCAGGACCCCACCAGCCACGGAGATGGATGATTCTCCCCGTAGCTCAGTAGTGCACCTGAACCCCAAAACCCTGTTTGAGTGGTGGTGTGGTGGAGTGGGCAGAGGAGGACGTCGGGATGGGGAGGTGAACTGAGGTGGCAATGCCCCCCCAGGGGACCAGCTCCCCCACTGACCCCAATAGGCACCCCCACTCCACGAGATCCACCAGGGGAGAGAGGCTATAACAGAGATACCTAGGAGGAGGTGGCAGCCGCACCACCAGGGATCAAGGCCACGGACCGGCACATAGCCCCCGAGGACCAACCAGAACCAGGGCCAGCAACCCAGACTCATCCCGAAACCGTCCAGACGCCCCAACCCTATTCCCAGCCCAACACCCAGCCCCCCAACCAGAGAGGCCACCAAACCCCAACCGGGACAATCAGCCAGGAGTGCCCAAACAGTCAGAGATAGAGCACCACAGCGACGAAGAGCGCCCTCCCCCCACCCCAAAAAAGCAAAAGACCAGTCCACCCATAACAACACCCACAGCGAGAGCGCCCCATGCAAGTGAGGGCACACACCTAGCGAGCCCAGACCCCCCCGGTCCCACAGCACAGAGCCCCCCACGCGAGAGCCCCCAATATACCCCACCCCAGTCACAGCCCCCCACA